GGGTGCAGCCCTGTCTGACCCCCCCTTTTCCCCCCAAATTGCAGCAGGGCTACGGCTCCTACGGGTACCAGAGCCCCTGGAATTACGGCCACTACTACGGGCAGAGCTGAGGGGGCCCCAACCCCCTCCCTGTACAGTTCTTGGCCCCCCCTCCCCAAAATTTGGGGCTGGGGGGGGTTGTAAATAAAGGAGAGGCTCTCGAGGAGTCACCGGGGCCTTTATTGGGGTCCGGGGGGGGCTTTGGTTCCTTTCCAGAGAAGATTCTGAGGGGTTTGGCTCCTTTTTTGGGGGGTCCCAGGTGGGTTTGGGGTCCCCCTCCCCCGAGAAGGTTCCAGGTGCATTTTGGGACGTCCCAAGGGAATTTCAGGGTCCTTCCCAGATTTTTGGGGGGGTCTCAGAAGCCCCCCTGGAGCAGATCCCAGGCGGATTTCGGGGTTTCCCGAGCGGATTCCAGGTGGATTTTGGGGTCCTCTCCTCAGGTCAGGGGGCTCAGAAGCTCCTCTGGAGCAGATCCCAGGTGGGTTTTGGGGTCTGGGGGTCTCAGAATCCCCCCTGGAACAGATCCCAGGTGGATTTCGGGATCTGGGGGGTCTCAGAATCCCCCCTGGAACAGATCCCAGGTGGATTTCAGTGTTTCCAAAGAGATCCCAGGTGGATTTTGGGGTTCCCTCCTTAGATCTGGGGGGGGGGTCTCAAAGCCCCTTTGCAGCACATTCCAAGCGGATTTCGGTGTCTCCAGCAGCTCCCAGGTGGATTTTGGGGTCTCCCCCTGCTTTGGGGGGGTCTCAGAAGCCCCTCTGGAGCAGATCCCAGGTGGATTTTGGGGTCTTGGGTGGTCTCAGAAGCTCCTCTGGAGCAGATCCCAGGTGGGTTTTGGGGTCTCAGAAGCCCCCCTGCAGCAGATCCCAGTGGATTTCGGTGTGTTCCCAGCAAATCCCAGGTGGATTTTGGGGTCTGGGGGTCTCAGAAACTCCTCTGGAGTAAATCCCAGGTGGATTTTGGGGTCTGGGGGGGTCTCAGAAGCCCCCCTGGAGCAGATCCCAGGTGGATTTTGGGGTCTCAGAAGCCCCTGTGGAGCAGCCAGGCCCTGAGCTGAGCCCCCCAGTGCCCCTTGAGCTGGAGGGTCCCGGTCACTTCGTTCACCTGCAGCTGCAGCTC